CATTGAGGTAATATGTACACTACCGGTCAAAACGTTTAGAACACCTACTCATTCAAGGGTTTTTCTTTATTTTTACTATTTCCTACATTGTAGAATAATAGTGAAGACATCAAACTATGAAATAACAAATATGGAATCATGTAGTAACACAAAAAAACAAAAGTGTTAAACAAATCAAAATATATTTTATATTTGAGATTCTTCAAATAGCCACCCTTTGCCTTGATGAAAGCTTTGTACACTCTTGGCATTCTCTCAACCAGCTTCACCTGGAATGCTTTTCCAACAGTCTTGAAAGAGTTCCCACATATGCTGAGCACTTGTTAGCTGCTTTTCCTTCATTCATGCTGTCCGACTCATCCCAAACCATCTTAATTTGGTTGAGGTCGGTGGATTGTGGAGGCCAGGTCATCTGATGCAGCAATCCATCACTCTCCTTCTTGGTAAAATAGCCCTTACACAGCCTGGAGGTGTGTTGGGTCATTGTCCAGTGTCACCAGCAAAGCACCCCCACACCATAACACCTCCTCCTCCATGCTTTACGGTGGGAAATACACATGCAGAGATCATCCGTTCACCCACACCGCATCTCACAAAGACACGGCGGTTGGAACCAAAAATATCAAATTTGGACTCCAGACCAAAGGACACATTTCCACCGGTCTAATGTCCATTGCTCGTGTTTCTTGGCCCAAGCAAGTTTCTTCTTATTATTGGTGTTCTTTAGTAGTGGTTTCTTTGCAGCAACTCGACCATGAAGGCCTGATTCACACAGTCTCCTCTGAACAGTTGATGTTGAGATGTGTCTGTTACTTGAACTCCGTGAAGCATTTATTTGGGCTGCAATTTCTGAGGCTGGTAACTCTAATGAACTTATCCTCTGCAGCAGAGGTAACTCTGGGTCTTCCATTCCTGTGGTGGTCCTCAAGAGAGCCAGTTTCATCATAGTGCTTGATGGTTTTTGCGACTTGCTCTTTTGCCAAATAGGGCTATCTTCTGTATACCATCCCTACCTTGTCACAACACAACTGATTGGCTCAAACGCATTAAGAAGGAAATACATACCACAAATTAACTTTTAACAAGGCACACCTGTGACTATGCATAGATAATAAACAGAAAGTAGCAGCAGCGGGGGGGGGGGGGGGGGGGGGTCAATGCAAATAGTCCGGGTAGCCGGGGACTTTAATGCATGGTAACTTAAATCCGTTCTACCAGCATGTTAAACGTGCAACCAGAGGGGGAAAAAAAACTCTAGACCACCTTTACTCCACACACAGACACGCGTACAAAGCTCTCCCTCACACTCCATTTCGCAAATATGACCATAATTCTATCCTCCTGAATCCTGCTTATAAGCAAAAACTAAAGCAGGAAGCAACAGTGACTCGGTGAATAAGGAAGTGGTCAGATGACGCAGATGCTAAGCTACAGGACTGTTTTGCTTGCACAGACTGGAATATGTTCCGGGATTCTTCCGATGGCATTGAGGAGTACATCACATCAGTCACTGGCTTCATCAATAAGTGCATTGATGACGTCATCCCCACAGTGACCGTACGTACATACCCCAACCAGGAGCCATGGATTACAGGCAACATCCACACTGAGCTAAAGGGTAGAGCTGCCGCTTTCAAGGAGCGGGACTCCAACCCGGATGCTTATAAGAAATCCCGCTATGCCCTCTGACGAACCATCAAACAAGCAAAGAGTCAATACAGGACTAAGATTTAATCGTAGTACTAAACCGGCTCCGACGCTCGTCGGATGTGGCAGGGCTTGCAAACTGTTACAGACTACAAAGGGAAGCACAGCCGCGAGCTGCCCAGTGACACAAGCCTACCAGACGAGCTAAATCACTTATATTCTGCTTCGAGACAAGCAACACTGAAGCATGCATGAGAGCAGCTGTTCCGGATGACTATGTGATCACGCTCTCCGTAGCCGATGTGAGTAAGACTTTTAAGCAGGTCAACATTCACAAGGCCGTAGGGCCAGACGGATTACCAGGACGTGTGCTCCGAGCATGCGCTGACCAACTGGAAAGTGTCTTCACTGACATTTTCAACATGTCCCTGATTGAGTCTGTAATACCAAAATGTTTCAAGCAGACCACCATAGTCCCTGTGCCCAAGAACACTAAGATAACCTGCCTAAATCAGGTTGCAACTGGCTTACCTGGTTAAATAAAGGTGAAATAAAAATATATAATCAAAATGACTACCGACCCGTAGCACTCACGTCTGTAGCCATGAAGTGCTTTGAAAGGCTGGTCATGGCTCACATCAACACCATTATCCCAGAAACCCTAGACCCACTCCAATTTGCATACCGCCCCAACAGATCCACAGATGATGCAATCTCTATTGCACTCCACACTGCCCTTTCCCATCTGGACAAGAGGAACACCTATGTGAGAATGCTATTCATTGACTACAGCTCAGCGTTCAACACCATAGTGCCCTCAAAGCTCATCACTAAGCTAAGGACCCTGGGACTAAACATCTCCCACTGCAACTGGATCCTGGACTTCCTGACGGGCCGCCCCCAGGTGGTAAGGGTAGGTAACAACACATCTACCACGCTGATCCTCAACACAGGGGCCACTCAGGGGTGCGTGCTCAGTCCCCACCTGTACTCCCTGTTCACCCATGACTGCATGGCCAGGCACGACTCCAAAACCATCATTAAGTTTGCCGACGACAACAGTGGTAGGCCTGATCACCGACAACGATGAGACAGCCTATAGGGAGGTCAGAGACCTGGCCATGTGGTGCCAGGATAACAACCTCTCCCTCAACGTGATCAAGACAGAGGAGATGATTGTGGACTACAGGGAAAATAAGAGGACTGAGCACGCCCCCATTCTCATCGACAGGGCTGTAGTGGAACAGGTTGAGAGCTTCAAGTTCCTTGGTGTCCACATCACCAACAAACTATCATGGTCCAAACACACAAAGACAGTCGTGAAGAGGGCACAACAAAGCCTATTCCCCCTCAGGAGACTGAATAGATTTGGCATGGGTCCTCAGATCCTCAAAAAGTTATACAGCTGCACCATCGAGAGCATCCTGACTGGTTGCATCACTGCCTGGTATGGCAACTGCTCGGCCTCCGACCGCAAGGCACCACAGAGGGTAGTGCGTACGGCCCAGTACATCACTGGGGCCAAGCTTCCTGCCATCCAGGACCTATATACTAGGCGGTGTCAGAGGAAGGACCTAAAAATTGCCAAAGACTCCAGCCACCCTAGTACCGGAGCGCCAAGTCTAGGTCCAAAAGGCTTATTAACAGCTTCTACCCCCAAGTCATTAGACCCCTGAACAGCTAATCATGGCTACCCGGACTATTTGCATTGTCCCCACCTCACCCCACCCCACACCCTCTTTTACGCTGCTGCTACTTTCTGTTTATTATCTATGCATAGTCACTTTAACTCTACCCACATGTACATATTACCTCAATTACCTCAACTAACCTGTGCCCCCGCACATTGACTCTGTACCGGTACCCCCTGTATATAACCTCCCTACTGTTATTTTATTTTACTGCTGCTCTTTAATTATTTTATTTTTTTACTTAACACTTATTTTTCTTAAAACTGCATTGTTGGTTAAGGGCTTGTAAGTAAGCATTTCACTGTAAGGTCCACACCTGTTGTATTCGGCGCGTGTGGCTAATACAATTTTATTTTATTTTATTGTATTATTCAGTAAGGCCATTCTACTGCCAATGTTTGTCTATGGACATTGCATGGCTGTGTGCGCGATTTTATACTCCTGTCAGCAACGAGTGTGGCTGAAATAGCCGAATACACTAATTTGAAGGGGTGTCCACCACAGGAGGTTGGTGGCACCTTAATTGGGGAGAACGGGCTCGTGGTAATGGCTGGAGCGGAATCAATGGAATGGTATTAAATACATCAAACATGGTTTCCTGGTGTATGATGCCATTCACTCCGTTCTGTCCATTATTATGAGCCGTTCTCCCCTCAGCAGCCTCCACTGGTGTCCACATACTTTTGTATATATAGTGTATTGATAAAAGTCACCTTGTCCTAGAAAGATTTACACGGTTAACAAAACGTCACGCCAGGGTAAGCCTACACGAAACACAGCCCTTATTGTAAGGGTTTCTAAAATCCCCTATGGGAAAAATGAATGGTGGAAAAACGATTTGAACCATTTCCCTGTTTGACCACTAGGGTTTTATGACTCATACTGTGGTCCTCTATCCACCTCATTTTCGAATGTTGCTATGGGCACAGCCAAACGGAAGTGATGGATTTAACTTCCGCTTTACTTCCCTAATGCAGCGCGCCGGTGGCAAACTTGCCAGAGTAAATTAATTGAAAGAGTCAATTTATAGTATAAAAGTCAAGTAAACATCTCCCAGTAGCCTGCTGCTCCTAGTTAAGACAAAAACAAGTTTCCAGGGAGCTGGGGGTCAAAGGTAAAAATAAACACCATTTAAGTTTCTCTGTCACCTAGACCAGGTTTTCCCAAACTCGGTCCTGGGGCCCCCCCCTGGGTGCACGTTTTGGTTTTTGCCCCTGCACTGCACAGCAGATTTAAATCATCAAAGCTTGATGATGAGTTTGTTATTTGAATCAGCTGTGTAGTGTTAGTGTTAAAAACGAAAACGTGCACCCAGCTGGGCCCAGGACCGAGCTTGGGAAACTCTGACCCAGACACAGACACCATAGCAGCCAGACATACTGTAAATAAGGCAAGAGAAGAGACAAAAGAAAAAACGCAAAAGACTGAAAACAGGCCTCGGTTTAGCTACAATCGACTCAAACCCCTCTTCACAGTTATAAACTTAAGTGAAGTCTCGCCGCCGCGGTCAGTGTCAGATAGCGCTGACTCTCTAACTAATGCAAAAGATTAGCCGTGTAGCATTGCTCACCTGTGAACTGAACTCAGTCTCTGCTTGCTTTGGCATCCCGGACACACTGGTCTCTGAACATGAATGATACTAGTGTAGACGGCAATTATAGGATGTGCTTTTACAGAGCGAGACATGGTAATGATACGATACATTGGGTAAACTTCGGTACCCTAAACAGTACTCCCACACAAGGGCCGGCCAAATACGGGGCCATTCTGCCCCTGGTATCAGATATAGGCGCTAAAAATCAATTAACTACAGTTAGTAGTCTATGAACGGTTAAATTACCGTTAGCTAGCTACAGTTAGTTCTTACCGTTTCAAACTTATTCTTGTCGATGTCGGTGATTTCTCTCTGTTTTCTGCCAAAATGTGTTAGAGAATACATTTCCATGTTGGTACATTGCACAGACGAGAAGTAAAGTTTTGTAAGTTTCCGTGGAGACCGTATGAGATTCACCGTTGGTTACCTGTTCTTCTTCTTCTTCTTTGGCATCATGGCGTTCGCACATTTTGTTTGTTCATGCCGCCATCTACTGTGCGGTAGTGTGTTGTCAATCACGTTACATTTTGGTTACCTGTTTGATACAGTGGTGGAAAAAGTCACCCAGTAAAATACTACTTGAGTAAAAGTCTAAAAGTATTTTGTTTTAAATATACTTAAGTATCAAAAGTAAATGTAATTGATAAAATATACTTAAGTATCAAAAGTCAAAGTAAAAGTATAAATAATTTCAAATTCCTTATGTTAAGCAAACCAGACGGAACCATTTTCTGGTATTTTTTTAAAATGTACGGATAGCCAGGGGCACACTCCAACACTCAGACATAATTTACAAATGAAGCATTTGTGTTTAGTGAGTCCGCCAGATCAGAGGCAGTAGGGACGACCTGGGATGTTCTCTTGATAAGTGTGTGAATTTGACAATTTTCCTGTCCTGCTAAGCATTCAGAATGTAACGAGTACTTTTCGGTGTCAGGGAAAATGTACGGAGTAAAAAGTACATAATTTTCTTTAGAAAAATATTTTTTTTAAAGTACAGATACCCCAAAAAACTACTTATAGTACTTTAAAGTATGTTTTGCTTAAGTACTTTTTACCACTGGTTTGATATGTGCACAGATTATGCATTATATTAAGCATATAGTCTAGTGGCCGCTCTAAAAATGAAAATAAATGTCTTCAACAATGGAAGGCAGTCAGGAGGAGGACCATTCTAGCTAATGAGAGGGCAGATATGCATGAAAACAAACATTTAAGATTAGGCCAGGGGTGAAAGTAGATTGAATTTCTTCCCGGTACGGGACCTCCTGTTTGTGCACGCACCAAAAATGTTTTTAAATTGCCACCCCCTAAACTAGAATAGTGTAGGACAGCAGGGGTAGGCATTAGATTTAGCCTTGGGAAATTATTTTTATCTGCTAATAGTCAAAATAGAACAACATAATAGCAGCCCCATTCATAGGCCTACACTACAAATTAAACAACATTTTAAACACATCTATAGGCTATATAATCAGTTCAATGTCAATAACATATCCTAATATTTTCAATCTGATTACACTGATAAAATCACAAATGTCTCTATTAAATTAGTTTTTTATATTTCTTTGTCCGTTGATTGTGGGGAAAACAGCTTGCAATCAAGAGAAAATGTCGCTCTGAAAAAGTCGCAAAAGGTGGATATTGAAAATAGAAGTTTCAGGGAAAAATGGACAGAGAAATAGGTATTCTTACCATATTTCTCCAATGTCAAACCACAATGTCTTGTTTGCAACTAAACGGTTGCTGTTAGCAAATAATCAAATATTACACATCCGTATGAATCTAAGCTTGGCACTTTCAAGTTACCTTTCCACCCACACAGAGGCTCGACCGAGGCAGAAAAATATAAGCTTCAACCCATGGCTACTCGTCTGTTCCTTAACCTAACAACAGAAGTGCTTATATAAAAACTCCCTGGGTTTAAACATTTTCTCTTTTCAGAAAATGAAAAGCTCAATTAATAGGGACAGAATAGCAAAGTCATTTTTTTGTCTCCTCGAATACTGAAGGCCGCAGCTCAGCTTCAGAATGTCATAGAGAGGAATCAATATATCCCCATATGCATCAGAGTCACTTATATTGTGGGCATTTTAAAGCTTGTTTCTAGCATAAGGCATCACGGAGATAAGTATTGTTATAGAACGCTTTATATTATCTGGATACTTTTGATTTCAAAATAGAAAGCTAACAATCCTTTTTGCCCTTTTCTTTAACAAAGGGTATGGTATACCCTCACTCCTTTTGAGCCCTGGATTTAACCAAACACACCAAGCCCTTCCCAGATATGGAGGTATTTAAGGAGTGCATGGTGACAGTATTGGAGAATTTGGCTACACTGACAAATCTATGGATAGTATAATTGCTTCTGTCAAACAGGTAGGCCTACCTCTTATTTTTTTGAATAGGAAGAAATAGGCTCCAACAGGGGCGCAACTTTGGTTTTAGAAGTGGGGGGGACATAATTGTTATTTTTTAATCCAGTCCGATAAACAATCCAAAACAGGAGACATCTGCATGGTCATAAAGCACACCGTTGCCTCGTTTTGTACCCCCGTCCCCAGTGAAAGATATGCCCCTGGGCTCCAACAAAGCCCTCTTGTTGTTGTTGTTGTTGTTGTTGTTTTTTTTTTTTAGGGGGTAGATCAGCTTTAATATTGCAGAAAGATTGTAACTTCCATCAATGCAATTGTCTGCATCACTTCCAATCCCCCATATATTTTCTAGCAAATATATATACAGTACCAGTCAAAAATGTGGACACACCTACTCATCCAAGGGTTTTTCTTTATTTTTACTATTTTCTACATTGTAGAATAATAGTGAAGACATCAAAACTATGAAATAACACACATGGAATCATGTAGTAACCAAAAAAGTGTTAAACAAATCAAAATATATTTTATATTTGAGATTCTTCAAATAGCCACCCTATGCCTTGATTTCAGCTTTGCACACTCTTGGCATTCTCTCAACCAGCTTCACCTGGAATGCTTTTCCAACAGTCTTGAAGGAGTTCCCACATATGCTTAGCACTTGTTGGCTGCTTTTCCTTCACTCTGCCGTCCGACTCATCCCAAACCATCTCAATTGGGTTGAGGTCAGGGGATTGTGGAGGCTAGGTCATCTGATGCAGCACTCCATCACTCTCCTTCTTGGTAAAATAGCCCTTACACAGCCTGGAGGTGTGTTGGGTCATTGTCCTGTTGAAAAACAAATGATAGTCCCACTAAGCCCAAACCAGATGGGATGGCGTATTCCTGCAGCTGTGGTAGCCATACTGGTTAAGTGTGCCTTGAATTCTAAATAAATCACAGACAGTATCACCAGCAAAGCACCCCCACACCATAACACCTCCTCCTTCATTCTTTACGGTGGGAACTACACATGCAGAGATCATCCGTTCACCCACACCGCGTCTCACAAAGACACGGCAGTTGGAACCAAAAATCTGAAATTTGGTGTCCAGACCAAAGGACACATTTCCACCGGTTTATGTCCATTGCTTGTGTTTCTTGGCCCAAGCAGAGGTAACTCTGGGTCTTCCACTCCTGTGGTGGTCCTCATGAGAGCCCCCAGGATTTCAGTCCTTCACAGCGTAGTGTGTTACCAATTGTTTTCTTGGTGACTATGGTCCCAGCTGCCTTGAGATCATTGACAAGATCCTCCCGTGTAGTTCTGGGCTGATTCCTCACCGTTCTCATGATCATTGCAACTCCACGAGGTGAGATCTTGCATGGAGCCCCAGGCCGAGGGAGATTGACAGTTCTTTTGTGTTTCTTCCATTTGCGAATAATCGCACCAACTGTTGTCACCTTCTCACCAAGCTGCTTGGCGATGGTCTTGTAGCCCATTCCAGCCTTGTGTAGGTCTACAATCTTGTCCCTGACATCCTTGGAGAGCTCTTTAGTCTTGGCCATGGTGGAGAGTTTGGAATCTGATTGATTGCTTCTGTGGACAGATGTCTTTTATACAGGTAACAAGCTGAGATTAGGAGCACTCCCTTTAAGAGTGTGCTCTAATCTCAGCTCGTTACCTGTATAAAAGACACCTGGGAGCCAGAACTCTTTCTGATTGAGAGGGGGTCAAATACTTATTTCCCTCATTAAGATGCAAATCAATTTATAACATTTTTGACATGCGTTCTTCTGGATTTGTTTGTTGTTATTCTGTCTCTCACTGTTCAAATAAACCTACCATTAAAATTATACTGATCATTTCTTTGTCAGTGGGCAAACATACAAAATCAGCAGGGGATCAAATACTTTTTTCCCTCACTGTAGCTCTGGACTTCGTCACTGGCTTTCCCCCATCTAACGGTAACCTCACCATTTATTGACAGGTTTTCCAAAATGGCTCACTTCATTCCCCTCTCCAAGCTCCCGTCCTCCAGGGAGACTGCGGACCTATTAGTATCCCATGTGTTTAGTCTGCATGGCATCCCCACTGACATTGTTTCCGACAGAGGACACCAGTTTACCTCCCAGGTATGGAGATCCTTCTGTCCAGCTCTTGGAATCAATGTCAGTTTTTCTTCTAGATATCACCCCCAGACCAACGGCCAGACCGAACGGTCCAACCAAGAGATGGAGACTTCCCTACGCTGCGTGACTTCTGCTAACCCTTCCTCCTGGAGCGCTCAGCTAACCCTGGGTTGAATATGCACACAACACCCTCACCAACACCTCGTCAGGTATGTCACCCTTTGAGTGTGCTCTGGGTTACCAACCCCCCTTGTTCCCCGCCCAAGAGGTTGAGGTTGCGGTTCCCTCTGTCCAGGACCATCTGCACCATTGTCACCGTAGCTGGAGGAAGGCCCGGGCTGCCCTTCTTCGTGCCTCCGACAGGACCCAGTCCCAAGCTAACCGTCGCTGGGCCTCAGCTCCCGTCTACACCCTGGGTCAAAAGGTATGGCTCTCATCGAAGGTCCTGCCATTGAAGGTGGCATCAAAGAAACTTTCCCCCCGATTCATTGGTCCCTTTGAAATTGACCGTGTTATTAACCCCTCTGCGGCGTGCCTGAAACTCCCAGCCTCTCTCAGGATCCATCCTACCTTCCACGTATCCCTGATTAAACCTGTCTCCTCCTGCAGCAGCTCCTCCACCCCCTCGGCTCATCGATGACCTTCCTGCCTGTACCGTCCGGTGGCTTCTGGACGTGCTCCGTCGTGGCTGGCAGTACCTGGTGGACTGGGAGGGAGACGGGCCTGAGGAGCGCTGCTGGGTGCCCCGCCGTCACATTCTGGACCCCTCCCTCTTACGGGATTTCTATACCTCACACCCAGACAAGCCTGCTCAGGCACCAGGTGGCGCCCGTAGAGGGGGGGTACAGTCACATCTGCTCCTGCAACGCACTCTACTGCTCATCCTGTGTCTCCTTGACCTGCCGCCACTCCCCCAGTACCCTCTCCCTCTCTCTCGCTGTGGGTGTGGCGACAGGTGTGCTGGAGTCAGAGCAGATCCCCACCAGCTGCAACCTGTTCCATAAGCAAGACCTCTACAAATACTCAGTCCTGCCACTTCCACACTGCCAGATTGTAATCTCTGCTCAGTCAGTCTACGCTTCTAGCAGTTTGTTACTATTCATATCCTGTTGTGCCTGTTTTCCTTGCCTGACGCTGTTTTCCTCTCCGCTACAGTTCTGCCGCTCCAACTCTGGTCCCTGTCTCCAGTCCCACGCCTCGTCATCCTGCTACTCTGTCCTGGATTTCCCACTCTACTACTCCCTTGGATTCAACCTCCGGAACGCCTCCCCCTGTCACAACCCCCCTCACTCCAGCCTCAACCTCCACACCTGGTTTCCAGCAGTTTCCCCTGACCTGCACTCCATCTTCCCCCTGTGTTTCAATAAATACTTTGGTTTCTTCATCCCAGTCTCCTCGTCTGAGTCTGCTCTTGGGTTCCCCTGTTCCACTCCGCGTAACATAATCATTGGCCAGTACAGAGAATAAAGTAAAACCACAAGTCCAAATCCCTATCTCCATCCATGGCAAATTTAGGAAAGGGCCAATTTTTGCTAGCTAGTCACTGGAGGACAACAATAAAACGAGCTGCAACAATTCAAGTTGTTTCTGTCAATAATATATGCTCTCAATGCAATTTGATAGGAGTGACACCAAATCCAAACTGGCTTCCCTTTTTTTTTCTTTTTTTTTGGTGCGCCAGGACCATTCACAGTTGAGCTCACTCAACGTTGATTGGCTATTATTTTATACTTTTACAAAAATATCAAGGGAGGCCAAATGCAATTTGGCTTCCCTTGCATTCAATGCTATGTCGACAACCATGTCATACTATTTTGGACCAGACCGCATCAGATAGATGGCCTACACATACAGCAACAGAGGGGCGCTGTTTTGCTCGCTCGGATGCATTCTCCAGTGAGATGCGTTCAGCCTCTTGCGAATTGAAGGAAAATTATGAAACACAGAGACTAAATATAATTATTTTATTTATTTTTTGGTCAATTTTTTGGGGGAAGCCTGGCTTCCCTTGGCATCCATGAATACATGCCACTGGTTATATAGCAATAGTGCCCACTCTGGTCTTGGCATGTGCGCTCTAGCCAACAGTTTGCAGATACAGTGCGGGTAGCCTACTACATGATGAGATTATTATGGACAAAAGAGCTAGATTATTTGTCAAACGGCAGCCAAGCATTGATCATCATGTCACCAGAATAAGACCCTTGACATTTATTGGAAAGGAGTAATTTATTCATTTTGGAGGTATTTGACCCAGTTGTTAGAAACATGAATACTTAAATAGGCCTACATTTTGTCAATCTGACATAATCATTTCTAACAGTGTTTGAATAACAAAAGTAAATTAAGTAAATCTGTAATATTAATTTTAAGTAAAAAATAACCTGTTTCCATTAGGTGTAACTACTGTACAACATTTAATGAAGTAGTTTTTAATGAAAAAGTTGTTGCACTTTCACCACCCTGTGAAGTACATCATTTTTTTCTTCTGTAGCCTAAAATGGCATGATTTCCTGAGTCATCACGTGACTCCAAATTTACTTCAATGTTATGTTTTTTAGGCTATTTGCACATAAAGGCGTTTCCACCACCATTTATTTTCTCGCATAATTAATTTTACTGACACAAAGATCCCACCATGTCGAACAAACTAATTATCTGTCAGCATTTATAAAATTGTACCGAAACTACCTGTTCCCTCAAAGCTGTTGTGATTTTTTTTTATATGTTATTACTTTACTCGCATAAAAACTGTGGGTGGAAACGACCTCCATACAAAAACTCCTCGCTTGGTGAGCGGAAAGAACGCCACCTGCTGGAGAAGATAGATTTTGGGCCCAGTTATCCCTCTCCCTTCGCCTCAAGCACTGAAAATGTAGGCTAGACAGCAGGCAAAACAAAACGCATATGCATCTGGTGGACATCGGGCATACATTGGCTTTAACAATGCGGACGCCTCACTTCTGCTGAAGCTGCATCACAGTAAATGCTTTAAAGCCAATTTATGCTTGATCTGGAAATGCGAGGTAAATGCTGGAAATCCTGTGGGGGCCACTGCAGATGTCAGATTGACCATGTAGAGCCTTTTACAGTATTGTGAAAAGGAATTCGACTAAAAGTCAGCTACACGTCACGAGATAGGAACGAATGTTACTTACTTCATGTTCCGCTGGGGATGGACTTTTCAGTACACTGTTTAGCAAAACATGTCCACGAGACGCTTCTAAAAATCAAAACATCATTTATCATTCAATAATATATTACATAGCTATCAGACTGGTTTATGATTTATGCAATAAGCCACTTACGTCGGAAGTATTCGCGTTCCTGGTATTAGATCAATGATTTATGCATTGTTGTAGCAATATCTTTTGAGAAAATTGTCTAGCCCGTAACTGCAACAATTCAACTCCTGACAGTGAGTATTTCCCGCCACCACATCATTGAATTGCTAATGACATTCTTCTTGCTGGCTGGCTAGTTAAATCATTACTTGCAATTAGTCTTGCATGTAGTTTTTATGTAGTTTGACTTTGAAAGCTATTTTCTCATGATGTTGTTTGCAAGAATGTGCCTAGAAACTAAGTGGGCGTGTACGGTTTACAAAACAGTTCAATGTAGTTGTGAGTTATAATATTTTATTACATGTTTTATTTATTTCACCTTTATTTAACCAGGTAGGCCAGTTGAGAACAAGTTCTCATTTACAACTGCGACCTGGCCAAGATAAAGCAAAGCAGTGCGATAAAAACAACAACACAGAGTTACACATGGGATAAACAAAACAGTCAATAACACAATAGAAAATCTATATACAGTGTGTGCAAATGTAAGTTATGGAGGTAAGGCAATAAATAGGCCATAGTGCAAAATAATTACAATTTAGTATTAACACTGGAGTGATAGATGTGCAGAAGATGATGTGCAAATAAATATACTGGGGTGCAAATGAGCAAAATAAATAACAATATCGGGATGAGGTAGTTGGGTGGGCTAATTACAGATGGGCTGGGTACAGGTGCAGTGATCTGTAAGCTGCACTGACAACTGATGCTTAAAGTTAGTGAGGGAGATAAGAGTCTCCTGCTTCAGAGATTTTTGCAGTTCGTTCCAGTCATTAGCTGCAGAGAACTGGAAGGAATGGCGGCCAAAGGAGGTGTTGGCTTTGGGGATGACCAGTGAGATATACCTGCTGGAGCGTATACTACGGGTGGGTGTTGCTATGGTGACCAATGAGCTAAGATAAGGCAGGGATTTGCCTAGTAGAGATTTATAGATGACCTGGAGCCAGTGGGTTTGGCGACGAATATGTAGTGAGGGCCAGCCAACGAGAGCGTACAGGTCACAATGGTGGGTAGTATATGGGGCTTTGGTGACAAAACGGATGGCACCGTGATAGACTACATCCAATTTGCTGAGTAGAGTGTTGGAGGCTATTTTGTAAATGACATCGCCGAAGTCAAGGATCGGTAGGATAGTCAGTTTTACGAGGGCATGTTTGGCAGCATGAGTGAAGGAGGCTTTGTTGCGAAATAGGAAGCCGATTCTAGATTTAACTTTGGATTGGAGATGCTTAATGTGAGTCTGGAAGGAGAGTTTACGGTCTAACCAGACACCTAGGTATTTGTAGTTGTCCACATATTCTAAGTCAGACCCGCCGAGAGTAGTGATTCTAGTCGGGCGGGAAGGTGCAAGCAGCGTTTGATTGAAGAGCATGCATTTAGTTTTACTAGCGTTTAAGAGCAGTTGGAGGCTATGGAAGGAGTGTTGTATGGCATTGAAGCTCGTTTGGAGGTTTGTTAACACAATGTCCAATGAAGGGCCAGATGTATACAAAATGGTGTTGTCTGTATTAAAGTCTGTGTGGCACTGACACATTGCTGTACAGTGCATTCTCTTTCAATGTAACGTTAACAGTTATAGTAACGTTACAGTATTTCCCTTCTAATAACTAGAGGCCGAATTCTTTGAGAATATCCAGTCCACCTCTGGGGATATCTTCCCCATGACTAGTGTAAAGGCTATAATTGTAATACCCGGATGTAGTATGTATACCAGTGGTGGTAAAGGCCAGGTGATGTCAATAACTTGCCCTATATATGTGGCCCCTAACCACAGTTCTAGGATCAGCCTTTTCTCTCAATCCTAAACATAATATTATTCACTTGATGGGAAGGCAAAACTGACTTTAGATCAGTGACCAATTGTTCCTTTGATTGTAAAGCTGACAACCATGGGCCTCCTGTTGCTGACTAATGACCATGACCAATCAACGTTGACCTCTCACCCTTTCTCTCACCTCTCGCAGATCAGAAATGTCACTGGAGAATCAGCACGGGAAATGGACACTCTCCAGCAGCGATGACGACAACGATGACCCACGCCCTTCTGCCTCAAACAACAACCCCCCGCCTGACCAACACACATCTTCAGACTCCAACCACAACTCCCCCAAGATAGCCTCCTACTTCCACCAACCCAAACATGATCCTGATCTTCCACCTTCCATAGAGGTGAAACCTGAACCTAAATCTGACCCAGTGACTGCCGCCCCCCCCCTCTCTATTGGCTCTGAGGCCAGACAGGCATCACAGGCCAGCCAATTGAAGCCAGTAAAGTATGAATCCAACCAATCCAGCCCCTTTCTGGCTGGTAAGAGGAAGAAGGTTGATGATTCAATTTCCGGCTGGGCTCTCTCAGAAAGTGATGATGATGATGATGATAAGGCTAAAGGTCAAAGTTCAGGACAGAAAGACCCGCCTCCCAAGAGGTTGAGCCCCAAGCCGAAGAAGGTAAAGGTGGAGGAAAGGCCTCCCAGCCCCCATGGTAGAACCTACTACATTGACGAACCGGATGACTTCTTTGAGACTAGCGTGCCTCCTGTCAATGACACCTACAGGTTCTACCTCAACAAGGTCACAGGGTTGGAAAAGAGGTACAACACTGGGGCTTTGCACATCAAAGGTGAATTAATACTCTCTCTGCTCTCATTTCTGTGTTGACAGTAGAGACTTCTATGTTTCCCAAGGTAATCGTCAATGTTTTTGTGTCCTTATTTCAGAAATCCTCTCTCCTTTGTTCGGGACACTGAAGGAATCTGTGCAGGTATGAGATCATTGAGATGCACTAGTACTGAAATATGTTGCTCGGTTGACTGAAGGAGATGAAAGCAGGTTTGCCTATTTTAGTTACGTTATCTGTCCTTTCTTTTGTAGTTCAACTACTGCTTTGACATTGCCTGGATGTTGCAGCAGTACCCACCTGAGTTCAGGTAATGCCCTACTCTTTGTTAAGCTCAAACTCTATACAGCAGACAACCATCAGATTCAGTGCCAACACCCCCAGAACAAACTCATCGGAAAATAAACACCCGTGGCCTAAATTGCAATTCATATCAGTCCGATGTGGTCCTGATATATATAATTACGATTTTAAAAAAAAAGAAGGTGACCCCAGAAAGCCAGATGGAGATGTGTCAATTAGACGTTCATTCATATTGATCTATCATTCAGATATATTAAGCCTAATATTACTATAGCTAGGTTTCCATCCAATTGACGACATATTTCATGCAAATATTTTAAAATCCGCAAAAAAACAATATACACCTTTTCCTACCAGAGATGTTTCCATCAAATTGACTTGTTGCAGATAAAAGGCTGTGCGTGATGACATAGTGCACATAAAAATACCTTTTGCAGTTAAATGACCATGTTTTTTTATTTTATTTATTTCATCTTTATTTAACCAGGTAAGCCAGTTGAGAACAAGTTCTCATTTACAACTGCGACCTGGCCAAGATAAAGCAAAGCAGTGCGATAAAAACAACAACACTGAGTTACATATGGGGTAAACAAAACGTACAGTCAAAAACACAATAGAAAATCTATATACAGTATGTGCAAATGTAGTAAGTTATGGAGGTAAGGCAATAAATAGGTCATAGTGCAAAATAATTACAATTTAGTATTAACACTGGAGTGATAGATGTGCAAAAGATGATGTGCAAATAGAGATACTGGGGTGCAAATGAGCAAAATAAATAATATGGGGATGAGGTAGTTGGGTGGGCTAATTACAGATGGGCTGTGTACAGGTGCAGTGATCGGTAAGCTGCTCTGACTACTGATGCTTAAAGTTAGTGAGGGAGATAAGTCTCCAGCTTCAGAGATTTTTGCAGTTCGTTCCAGTCATTGGCAGCAGAGAACTGGAAGGAATGGTGGCCAAAGGAGGTGTTGGCTTTGGGGATGACCAGTGAGATCAAATCACATTGTATTTGTCACATACACGTGGTTAGCAGATGTTATAGCGGGTGTAGCAAAATGCTTGTGCTTCTAGCTCCGACATTGTAGTAATATCTAACAATTTCACAACATATACCCAATACACACAAAACTAGTATGGAATGGGATTTAAGAATATATACATATATGGACAAGCAATGACAGAGCAGCATGGACTAAGATACAGTAGAATATTATAGAATAGAATTCAGTATATACATATGAGATGAGTAGTGCAAGATATGTAAACATTATAAACATTATTGTAAACATATACCTGCTGGAGCGCATACTAAGGGTGGGTGCTGCTATGGTGACCAATGAGCTAAGATAAGGCGGGGATTTGCCTAGCAGTGATTTATAGATGACCTGGAGCCAGTGCGTTTGGCGACGAATATGTAGTGAGGGCCAGCCAACGAGAGCGTACAGGTCCCAATGGTGGGTAGTATATGGGGCTTTGGTGACAAAACGGATGGCACCGTGATAGACTACATCCAATTTGCTGAGTAGAGTGTTGGAGGCTATTTTGTAAATGACATCGCCAAAGTCAAGGATCGGTAGGATAGTCAGTTTTACGAGGGCATGTTTGGCAGCATGAGTGAAGGAGGCTTTGTTGCGAAATAGGAAGCCGATTCTAGATCTAACTTTGGATTGGAGATGCTTCATGTGAGTCTGGAAGGAGAGTTTACAGTCTAACCAGACACCTAGGTATTTGTAGTTGTCCACATATTCTAAGTCAGACCTGCCGAGAGTAGTGATTCTAGTCGGGCGGGCAGGTGCAAGCAGCGTTCGATTGAAGAGCATGCATTTAGTTTTACTAGCGTTTAAGAGCAGTTGGAGGCTACGGAAGGAGTGTTGTATGGCATTGAAGCTCGTTTGGAGGTTTGTTAACACAGTGTCCAATGAAGGGCCAGTTGTATACAAAATGGTGTCGTCTGCGTAAAGGTGGGTCTGAGAGTCACCAGTAGCAAGAGCGACATCATTGATATACACAGAGAATAGAGTCGGCCCGAGAATTGAACCCTGTGGCACCTCCATAGAGACTGCCAGAGGTCCAGACAACAGGCCCTCCGATTTGACACATTGAACTCTATCTGAAAAGTAGTTGGTGAACCAGGCGAGGCAGTCATTTGAGAAACCAAGGCTATTTAGTCTGCCAATAAGAATGCGGTGGTTGACAGAGTCGAAAGCCTTGGCCAGGTCGATGAAGATGGCCGCACAGTACTGTTTTTTATCGATCGCGGTTATAATATTGTTTAGGACCTTGAGCGTGGCTGAGGTGCACCCATGACCAGCTCGGAAACCAGATTGCATAGCGGAGAAGGTACGGTGTACCAAATTAAAAATACAAGTTAAATGGGTTTCCATCACATTTTCAAATCGACTGATGGTTATCTCACAAAGAGTGTTGTGTTATATAGTGAGTGTGCCCACTCCAGTATTGGCACATGCGCTCTAACTAACAGCACGTATAGCCTACATGAGATTATTATGGACTAAAGAGCAAAATTATTTTTATTTGTCAAATGGCAACCAAGTACGATGATCATTTCACCAGAATAAGACCCTTGATATTTATTGGAAAGGAGCATCAAGCTCCTCAACTTGCACTTTCACCACCCTGTGAAGTTCATCATAATTAATTTAATCTGTAGCCTAATAAACTGCATGCTTTCACGACGAGTAGTAGTGGGAGGACCACACAACATGTCATTGTATGACTCCAAGTTTACTTCGATATGATGGTTATTATATCAATATTTACGCATAAAAGCGCTTCCACTGACCTTTCTCACATTATTCATTTTACCAACACTAACATCCCACCTTGTGGGACATTTGGAAAGTTTACAGACATGTTCTGTTTCCATCAGGCCTGTCATGACGTTTTTTATACGACATGTACTTTACTTGCATAAAAAGGTTGGATGGAAGCCTGGTTAATGCTGCAGGAAATGTACCTGTCACAAGAAAAAAAGTTACCAGCTAAGATGATACATACATTGTGAAATGCGCTCCATACTGAGATGCGCTGTCTTTCCCCACCCTTTCCCCACGTGGCACCAACGATATGCTTTGGGAACAAACCCACACTCTGGCCGAACCGACAAGAGGCCGAACCGACAAGAAAATCAAATTTCAACCAACGGCCTCCAACCAGTGGAGGCTCCTCAGAGGAGGAAAGGGAGGACCATCCTCCTCAGTGAATTTCATAAAAATAGTGAAACATTATAGTTATCCTTTTCAGATAAAACTATACTAAATATATTCACGTCAGCAAATAATTGATTAAAACACATTGTTTTGCAATGGTCAACAATAGCCTCAATAGCACTCTCTACGGTAGTACCATTGTTTAGCCGGAGGACAGCTAGTTTCCATCCTCCATAGACTTACACAGTAATTATGACACCTTCCGGAGGACGTTCTCCAACCCATCAGCTCTTGTCCACCCAATCAAAGGATCAGAGAATGAATCTTGTACTGAAAGCATAAGCTACAGCTAGCCAGCACTGTAATGCATACAATGTGGTGAGTAGTTGACTCAGAGAGAGGAAGACAATAGTTGAAGAGTTTTTAACAAATTAATTTCTTAACAAATTAAGGAGAAGCAAGAAAGAGCGAGAGCTAGCTATATTTAGTATTTTGTCACTTTCACGTTCACTTACTTAGATAGCTAATGCAGCTAGCTAGTTTAACCCTACTCAAACACCCGGCTCAAACAGAGAGGGATGCTATGTTACTTAGCTGGCTATGGCTATCCAACACTGGAACTCTTCCAAGTCAAGGTTAGGGCTGTTGCAGTGACAGTATTACCGCCACACCAGCAGTCATTACTCAAATTCTACGTGACCTTTGAGTCTCGGTAATCTCCTCTTATGCACTCTGGACATGAGTTAGTAGTACCCAACTCGCTAACGATCATCAGGTCGCTAATGGCCTGATACTCAGGGCTCTATTGTCCCTCTAACCACTCTGACATCAATGCAAATGCTCTCGAAAATCACATCAAACAGTTATCTTCAAAACAGTATGTGCTTTTAAAAAATAATCTCACTGTGATTGATTAATTTGAAGAAAGAAGTTCAACAGCAGGTTGAAACAGTGTAAAACATGGTCTTTGTGGATGTTGTTTCAAAGCCTAACACAACGAAATAGACAGTGCTTTCTAAGTTGATGATTAATTCAAAACATCCATATGCATATTAGAGCTTATGCATACGCATAGGCCTATATATGAGCCCATGCCCCCAAAAAAGTAACAACCCTGAATATAAATAATTTTTATTGAAGATACTTTTGTATATACAGTGTATGTGGACTCCCCTTCAAATTAGTGGATTCGGCAATCTAAGCCACACCCGTTGCTGACAGGTGTATGAAATCGAGCACACAGCCATGCAATCTCCATAGCCAAACATTGGAAGTAGAATGGCCTTACTGAAGAGCTCAGTGACTTTCAACGTGGCACCGTCATAGGATGCCGCCTTTCCTACAAGTCAGTTTGTCAAATTTCTGCCCTGCTATAGCTGCCCCGGTCAACTGTAAGTGCTGTTATTGTGAGGTGGAAACGTCTAGGAGCAACAACAGCTCAGCCGCGAAGTGGTAGGCCACACAAGCTCACAGAACGGGACCGCCAAGTGCCGATGCGCCTAGCATGTTAAAATCATCTGTCCCCGGTTGTAACACTCACCTCCGAGTTCCAAACGGCCTCTGGAAGCAACGTCAGCACAAGAACATGAAATGGGTTTCCATGGCCGAGCAGCTGCACACAAGTCTAAGATCACCATGCGCAATGCCAAGCGTAGGCTGGAGTGGTGTAAAGCTCGCCGCCATTGGACTCTGGAGCAGTGGAAACGTGTTCTCTGGAGTGATAAATCACGCTTCACCATCTGGCAGTCCGACGGACGAATCTGGGTTTGGCGGATGCCAGGAGAACGCTACCTGCCCCAATGCGTAGTGCCAACTGTAAAGTTTGGTGGAGGAGGAATAATGGTCCGGGGCTGATTTTCATGGTTCGGGCTAGGCCCCTTCATTCCAGTGAAGGGAAATCTTAATGCTACCACATATGATGACATTCTAGACGATTCTGTGCTTCCAACTTTGTGGCAACAGTTTGGGGAAGGCCCTTTCCAGTTTCAGCATGACAATGCCCCTGTGCACAAAGTGAGGTCCATATAGAAATGTTTTGTTGAGTTCGGTGTGGAAGACTGGCCTGCACAGAGCCCTGACCTCAACCCCATCGAACACCTTTGGGATGAATTGGAACGCCGACTGCGAACCAGGCCTAATCGCCAACATCAGTGCCCAACCTCACTAATGCTCTTGTGGCTGAATGGAAGCATGTCCCCGCATTAATGTTCCAACATCTAGTGGAAAGCCTTCCCAGAAGAGTGGAGGCTGTTATAGCAGCAAAGAGGGGACTAACTCCATTCCATTTTGGAAGGAGATGTTCAACGAGCAGGTGTCCACAAACGTTTGACCATGTAATGTACTGTATTCTAGTCAAGGCTCATCCTATATAACTACTGCTGTACAGACCTTTTCAATTCATATAATGTCCATAATGTCTACACAAATACATATATATTTATATTCCAGACTCTGACATTGCTCGTTCTAATATTTCTATATTTCTTTATTCCTTTCTATTTTGGATTTGCGTGTATTATTTTGTATTGTTAGGTATTAGGAACATAAGCATTTCGCTACACCCGTGATAACATCTGCAAAGTATGTGAACGCGACCAATAAAATGTGATGTGATGTGTATAAACCCTGCTCCTATTACTGTTGGTGATGCCCTGTCCTGTCTGTTCTACAGAGATAGGCCTGTTCTAATTGTCCACGGAGACAAGAGAGAGGCCAAGGCCCGTCTGCTGCAGCAAGCCCAGCCCTACAGCCAAGTCCGCTTCTGCCAGGTAACACATCTCTCTAACCTTCTTCTCCTTTTTCCTCCTCTCCTCTGCAATCACTCTCTTTTTTTACTTGCCCTTCTTCCGGCTTCCCCTCTTCTCTCAACTTCCCCTCTTGCCGCCTTCTCTTCCACTGTCCTCTTGCCCTTGTTTCCCATGTAAATATTCACAACATTCAGTGTCATGTTGTAATTTACACCATAGCCCACCAGAGGGAGTCATTGATAAAAGAGACATTGACTCACAACATAAACTCAAACGAATCAAATCGACTTAGCCTATTTCTTCTGCTCCATTCTCCTAATCTTTCATTCCTGACCTCTTTTGAGGTATTATTTAAATCACACAGTCTTCTGTAAAAGTTTTTGAAGTTAAGTAATTTACCTAATCGCCAAAAAGCAGCCTCTTACTGCTAGCCAGCCAACTATAGTGCATTATCCTAATGAGCCATCCTGGTGCCTCAGCTGTGTTCAATTGGATTTACTGTCTGTCTCCTAACAGGCCAAACTGGATATTGCCTTCGGAACACACCACACGTAAGTGTTCCTTTTCTCCCCTCATTTTCTCCCCACGCACAATATATCATCCATGTACTCTTGTAATTTGATCGGGAGTTTTGAAGAATTGTCTCACTGAGTTGGTTTTGCTAATTTTCTCCATCAAACGGTGGAGACTCATAAGGCCTGAGCGGAATATTGTTTCATAGGTAAATTTATTTAATTGGTCTCTGAAGAACTAGTTCACGTAGTCAGGGCCAGGGGTCTCTTTAAAAAAAAATCTAAATGCTGTGGAGCTGGAGCCCAAACAAATGATGCTTTAGCTAAGTGTACCTTTAATGCACATTAATGTTACCCGAGCCGGGCGTAGAGGAAGGATCTCAAATTTAAGGTAGTGTGCAAAAGTCACCTATCATACCCCCAGTCAACATCCAAGTAAGCCTGCATCAGTATTCTGTACCACCACCATCATTACACTCAATAACCACTCTAAATGTCAAAATGAGAACAAACTGAAAGCCAGGTTGTGTGTTACATGACATGATAAATGGATAGTGAGAAACTACTTTGTATGCCGTATGCTACCTGCATCTGATCTGTCTGAGCAACACTGCTTAAGTCTTCATCTTAACTATGCCGTTTTATCCTAAGTGTTAAACAGGAGAGCAAGCCTCTGTTTCCATTGCTGAATATTGATATGTTTGATTTCTCCCTGTCGCTGCGTTGAACGATTCCTATGGTTTATTCAGGTACGGGTAGACTGAGGTTGGGTGCCTCGGGAGGTGATAAGTCCCCTGTAGCTCAGTTGGTAGAGCATGGCGCTTGCAGCGCCAGGGTTGTGGGTTCGTTTCTCACCGGGGGGCCAGTATGAAAATGTATGCACTCACTAACTGTAAGTCGCTCTGGATAAGAGCGTCTGCTAAATGACTAAAATGTAAATGTAATATCTCCCTGTTTGAGAGAGTTTGAAAGATTTCTGTAGAGGGTAAATAAAATATTGATGCCTAGATAATCCTCGTCTAAAACACCTGTGTCTGCTCTGGTGGGTTGTACTTTGCTGCTACGTGATTAGTTCGACCTCGGGCTGAGTACACACACACACACAGACAGAGGTACACACAGTCACTTACACAATATGAGGCACACACACATAGGCTACACATACACTACCGTTCAAAGGTTTGGGGTCACTTAGACATTTCCTTGTTTTCAAAAGAAAAGCAATTTCTTTGTCCATTAAAATAACATCAAATTGATCAGAAATACAGTGTAGACATTGTTAATGTTGTAAATGGCTATTGTAGCTGGAAACGGCTGATTTTTAATGGAATATCTACTGTTGAAGTCGGAGGTCTACAAACACGTAGGTTGGAGTCATTAAAACTTGTTTTTCAACCACTCCACAAATTTCTTGTTAACAAACTACAGTTTTGGCAAGTCGGTTAGGACATCTACTTTGTGCATGACACAAGTAATTTTTCCAACAATTGTTTAGACAGATTATTTCACTTATAATTCACTGTATCACAATTCCAGTGGGTCAGAAGTTTACATACACTAAGTTGACTATGCCTTTAAACAGCTTGGAAAATTCCAGAAAATTCTGATAGTCTAATTGACATCATTTGAATCAATTGGAGGTGTACCTGAGGATGCTTGATGCTCCCATGCTTGACATCATGGGAAAATCAAAAGAAATAAGCCAAGACCTCAGTCTGGTTCATCCTTGGGCGCAATTTCCAAATGCCTGAAGGTACCACGTTCATCTGTACAAACAATAGTACGCAAGCATAAACACCATGGGACCACGCAGCCGTCATACCGCTCAGGAAGAAGACGCGTTCTGTCTCATTTTACATTTTACATTTTAGTCATTTAGCAGACGCTCTTATCCAGAGCGACTTACATGAGCAATTAGGGTTAAGTGCCTTGCTTAAGGGCACATCGACAGATTTTTCACCTAGTCGGCTCGGGGATTAGAACCAGCGACCTTTCGGTTACTGGCACAACGCTCTTACCCACTAAGCTACCTGCCGTCTCCTAGTGATGAATGTACTTTGGTGTGAAAAGTGCAAATCAATCCCAGAACAACAGTGAAGGAACTTGTGAAGATGCTGGAGGAAACGGTTACAAAAGTATTAATTTCCACAGTAAAACGAGTCCTATATCGACATAACGTGAAAGGCCGCTCAGCAAGGAAGAAGCCACTGCTCCAAAACCGCCATAAAAAAGCCGGACTACGGTTTGCAACTGCACATGGGGACAAAGATCTTACTTTTTGGAGAAATGTCCTCTGGTCTGATGAAACAAAAATAGAACTGTTGGCCATAATGACCATCGTTATGTTTGGAGGAAAATGGGTTAAAGCTTGGTCACAAATGGGTCTTCCAAATGGACAATGACCCCAAGCAAACTTTCAAAGTTGTGGCAAAATGGCTTAAGGACAACAAAGTCAAGGTATTGGAAAGCCCTGACCTCAATCCTATAGAAAATTTGTGGGCAGAACTCAAAAAGCGTGTGTGCGAGCAAGGAGGCCTACAAACCTGACTCAGTTACACCAGCTCTGTCAGGAGGAATGGGCCAAAATTCACCCAACTTATTGTGGGAAGCTTGTGGAAGGCTAACCGAAACGTTTGACCCAAGTTAAACAATTTAAAGGCAATGCTACCAAATACTAATTGCGTGTATGTAAACTTCTGACCCACTGGGAAAGCTGAAATAAATCATTCTCTCTACTATTATTCTGACATTTCACATTCTTAAAATAAAGTGGTGATCCTAACTGACCTAAGACAGGGAATTTTTACTAGGATTAATTGTCAGGAATTGTGAAAAATTGAGTTTAAATGTATTTGGCTGAGGTGTATGTAAACTTCCGACTTCAACTGCACATAGGCGTACAGAGGCCCATTATCAGCAACCATCAGTCCTGTGTTCCAATGGCACGTTGTGTTTGCTAATCCAAGTTTATCATTTTAAAAGGCTAATTGATCATTAGAAAACCCTTTTGCAATTATGTTAGCACAGCTGTTGTGCTGATTTTAAAGAAGCAATAAAACTGGCCTTCTTGAGACTAATTGAGTATCTGGTGCATCAGCAATTGTGGGTTCGATTATTGGCTCAAAATGGCTCAAACTCGTCAGTCTATTCTTGTTCTGAGAAATAAAGGCTATTCCATGCGAGAAATTGCCAAGAAACTGAATATCTCGTACAATGCTGTGTACTACTCCCTTCACAGAACAGCGCAAACTGGCTCTAACCAGAATAGAAAGAGGAGTGGGAGGCCCCCGTGCACAACTGAGCAAGAGGACAAATACATTAGTGTCTAGTTTGAGAAACGGGTGCCTAACAGGTCCTCAACTGGCAGCTTCATTAAATAGTACCCGCAAAACACCAGTCTCAACGTCAACAGTGAAGAGGCGACTCCGGGATGCTGACCTTCTAAGCAGAGTTGTAAAGAAAAAGCCATGTCTCAGACTGCCCATCTTTTATTTTTATTGGCCAGTCTGAGATATGGCTTTTTCTTTGCAACTCTGCCTAGAAGGTCAGCATCCCGGAGTCGCCTCTTCACTGTTGACATTAAGACTGGTGTTTTTATTTTCTAAGTGACCCCAAACTTTTGAACTGTAGTGTACACAGAGAGGTACATACACACAGTCACAAACACAACGAGATGACCAATCAGAGGAGCATTCTCTCTCTCGCTCTCATTCTCTCACTCTCTCACTCACTCACTCAAAATTATTGAATAATGAAAAGGTTTTCCTCCCAGAGCTTAATGGAAAGGTTTTTCAAATCCTCTTAACACAGGGTCTCTGTAGGAGTGTTTGACATTAATATATTCCGCTGCCTGGAGTTTCTAAATGGTATATTTTTCAAACCTGGATAAACACCAAACCAATGTCTGTGAATCGTAAGTCTTCATTACCTTCAGCTCCTTCAGGTCAATAGAGTTTCAACACATTAAACTGCTGGGCATTTCCATGCCAGAATGGCAAATAAGTTATCATATACATTTTATGAGCACCACCAACACAGTGAATGGGAAAATGGATTCAAAGGAAATTCCCTCTGCTGGTGATTTGCTGAATTTGCAATACTAAAGGAGGGCTGTGATTGGTTAATGGCCTATAATGCGAAATTATATGTTTAAAGAGAGTCCACTCTGGAAATTTGATGTGCTTGTAGAGTATATTGTTTAACACATTATGTCTCAAAATGAACAAAATAAAAAAGGGTACTTTTGAGATATTTACGTTTATATTTTTAATTGTCCTTAAATATTTTAAACACTACTCATATTTCAGAGCACACGGTAAGGTTTCAAATGACACCAAAACTGGCTTTGTAGCATCTATAGACTCATTTTTGTGTAAGGCCTGGGTAAGGCCAAAAGGTCACACATGTTCTTAAACTTGAATCAATTGTTTTTCAATAATAATGTTGGATACCAACATTGAAGGTATGCCAAACATTCTTCCCACGAAGGACCTTACATAGAATTTTATTTCAGGAAAATCCAAAACATCATGAATATCTTTTGGCCATCCTGGCGTGAAATTGCCCTGCTAGCTAAAATGCACTTAGTGTTTATCTCCCTCAGAATACTGATGTGGTGGAATGATATACTCTCTTCGTTCTATAAGGGCTATTACTGTGTATTAATGCTACATGATAGATTGTATGAATGACCCTGGATAGGCATGGTGGATTCACCTGCTGAGGTTAGGTAAGGTTTCAGGAGTTTGATAATACAGTACATTGATAATACATGAGATACATTATTCAAAACAGAGCAGTGAAGATGGTGTTGCATCTTAATCAGATTCACTGGATAAATACAGAATACAAATCAGCAAAGTCTCTTGAATATAATAATAATAATATGCCATTTAGCAGACGCTTTTATCCAAAACGACTTACAGTCATGTGTGCATACATTTTTACGTATGGGTGGTCCCGGGGATCGAACCCACTACCCTGGCGTTACAAGTGCCGTGCTCTACCAATTGAGCTACAGATGACCACCTTGAAGTTGCATGT